GCAGAGAGAAGCAATCGTCCTTCCTTCGGAAATCCTCCTCTTTTTAAATATACCATCTCTCAAATACTCACTGGAATTTTTTCGTGCAGTAATATTAACATTATAAATTGAATTACAAAGATCACCACCACATGTTTCATTAAGTTGTCCTGAACATGTCCATGAACAACAATTTAATTGATCAACATTTTCATCTTCTCTTTTTATGTTTGTCGGTAAATGATTACCACAATAACATTCTGATCTATAAGTGTATAAAAAACAACAACAAAAGGGTGACTATTTTCTTGCTTTTCTTGTTTTCATCAAGGCTAGAAAGCTTTACACACTTATATCATACCTAAACTGTAATCCGGCAAAATTAAAATCACGTTCAGCACAATACTTAATACATAGAGCAATAGTCATCGATGATGAAGTCAAAGGTTTAACAAGACCATTCAATATACGTTGATGACGACTATCTTTGAAACATCCAACATATTTCACTATTGGCTTTACTGAATCGACACCAAAAATCACTTGAAAACAAAAACATCAAATAATATAATATTTTATTTAAAAAAAATCAAAATGAAGAGAGGTGGACAACATCAAAGATAAATATTTTTGACATCAATTTTCAAACAATTTGACCGTGGTCAGAATATTCAACAATACATAGACATATATACATACATTTTCGGGTGTTAGCACCATATACATATACACATAAATTACATAATCTATCTTTGTCCCTTATTCTATAATTCATGAGTAAAGTTCATAGAAGTTACACTGGCCTCGTTGTGCAAGTGTCGGATTCTTTTCTTCTTTTTCTTTTTTTTTTTTAATATGTGGATCATGACAAAGAAGAAAGATGTACAATTGTATGCATCTGATTCAGTAAACGTCATCCTTTTTCTTTTTGGTCCCTGCTCATGCAAAGGTTATCTGCACCGATCAAGATGACGTGCGTGTTAAGCAAGTACAAACAAAACATGTACAACAAAAAAGAAGAAAAAAAAATGAGATCTTAATACGTCGCGGCCACGCCTACACATGTATATGTTGTTTCCAATGTATTCCTATGATTATGGGTATCTTTTCTTGTTCAATACTCATTATCGTTTGTTCAATATCAACCGAATCAATAAGGCAGAGAATATAAATAAAAATGTTGAAATACAGATTGTCATATATCCGTATTCATATGTTTGTATGTTTATTACGATCAAAAAGTTCGAAGTAAGATAACGAAGGATTAATAACAAATAGATTTCTCTCTTTCTCTGATGTCTTTTTTGTTATTGTTTTCTCAATGTGTTTAAAAATGATAAATTAACATCATGTTATGTAGAGTTTAGTCAACAATGTAGCATATTTGATGAACCAATAAGAAAAAAAAAGAGATTTCAAAAAAAACTCTTACCTTCAAAAAGTATGAGAATCAGAAGTATAACTTTGATCATATTACTTGTATAATAAGAACTTTTTGTTCGAAAGCCGATTGACAATGATGGCAAAAGGTGAATTTTGTTCTCTGTAGATGAGATATACTCGCTTATGATTCTCATTCAAAAGAGGAAGGACATATTGTGACAGTATTCATCGTCTTTTGTGCTTTTACTTTTATCATGTCTTCTTTCTCTCTCTCTCTCTCTCTCTTTCTCTGTTTCCCTCTCTATGAATGATCGAATGGACAGATTATTAGTGTTCTTCCCGCCTTCGTTCACTAAGCCAAACAATAACGACCAATTCTCTCTTTTTATCATTTTTCTCTGTTTCTCTCTCCATCAGCGACTATGATGAAAGGTGAACGAAATATGTACGTGCTTCTTTAATAATAATCCCTCACTCTGATTAACAAAAAAAATCATTATATTTATTGTAGAGACAAATTTAAGTGACTAAGTATCTTTGTAATTGATAACATATGAATGGATATTCGTTACAAAAAAAAAAATAGAAAAAGAAGAATTTATATTTTTTCATTCAGTCATGATAAAAATGAAAACTTTTGTCTACTTTAAAATTATACAAAGTTCATTGTGAAGCAGAATCTTGCGGATTAGTCCCGAATCCTAATAAGTTTCGTTTGTCTCGTCTTGTGGACGAAACAGAATAAAGAGCTATTGAAAAATTCTCGAAACAAGATGCGAAATTTGAAAACAAATTTGTTCCGCTGGACTCTGGTGAATTATAGACGTGTATATCATGTTTCATTTTAATGGATGAACCGAAAGTTTTTGAATCTTGTAAGGACTTAGAAAGTGAGCTGGATCGAAAAGTGTGAATCGAAATTTCTGGTGAAAATAGTTTCTCATTTTAATTTTCTTGACAGTATTTCCGATAAACCAAAAACTATGAATGATGAAGCAGAGTTTTGTTCCCTCTATGAATATGGGCTTAGAACTATTGTATCGAATCTTTTTCGAGACTAACATAGGACTTTTATTTAGAAGTTTAAAAAAAATTAGATTGAATTGTAAACCAAAATATTTTCCAACTCTTATAAGTTCCTTGTCAAAGATGCCAGAAATTATTCGAGTCAATTGTATTGTCGAGCAGACACTTCTGTACAAAAATTTAGATTAAAAGAAACTGTGAATTTTACCTAAGTGAAACTGTTAGCACTTTGCTAAGAACTACTTCCTATGCAAAATGTTCTTGGTCACAAACTCAATTTTCCAAAAATTAGGTTCCAAGAGAAACAACAATTGATGATGCCTGTAGACACACTTGAATAGTGCACTTTACTGGGTAGCTTCTCATTGACAGGCTGATATAGTTATGAAGGTTAAAATATTTACTTTCGAATAGCAATAGTGGAAGTACTTAAATCTAAGGAAAAATTCTCCGTTCAAACGATTTTTTGAGCATTTCAAAGATCATTTCGTTAGTCTCAAGAACAATGCTAAGCATACATCGAGAAGCGGTACATAATTCTCGATTATTATTCGCAGATTCTGAATCAAAACTTGCGACTTTTGATTAATAACAAAATGAAACTCTTATGGCTACTTTTTATTTAAAATAAAATAAAAACAAAACAAATAAACAAACAAACAATAAGGTAAAATCTTACACAACATGACGTGAAACAATCATTGATTTTGATTCTTGATTTTTAATATTCATTGAATTAATCATTTCAAACACATGTTCTATACAAACATTGCCAAATATATCATCAGGATTTTTGTCATGAAAATAAACTTGATTTATAATTGCTAGTTGAAGTTGATCTTCTACATAAATAAAATCATATATTATTTTAAAACAAAATGAGAATTATTAATTTTACTCTGAGCCCAAGATGGAATTTTTTTTTTACGACGACGAATCATAGTCAATCCAGTATTATTAAGTTCGTCATCATGAAATATAGTCATATCATAATTATTAGTTGTTTTAGATATTGATTGAGATTTATTATTTAATTTAATCTTGTGAACCATATTTGATCTATATTCACAAACATTAAAGTGTTAAGAAAATCTACGAAGAAAAGTAATTTACCTTTTTATACATGGAAATTTACGAGTAGATGAGTTTTCTTGATGAGTCTCATGAGAACGATTTTGAACACCAATAGAATGTTTTTTCATAAATTGCCGACGAAGAATTGATTTTATAGATGAAGATGATCGTGGTGGAACATACGATAGAATGGATGAATCAGCAGGCAGCAAACACTAAAATATTATTACACTTATTTTAAAAAAAGTACAAAAAAAAAAGAGAAACTCAACTGACTGGATTGCAAAGACGAGCTGAGAAAGGCATGATAATTCACTATGAATACAAGAATATGTTATGTCTTAGAAAATGAATTCGATCTTCTATTTATGAAGAAAAGCTTATTAATTTAAAAGTATTCTAAATAAGCTCTAATCAAAGAATTTTTCTATGAAATAAAATTATCTATTTCAATTAAACGAATCAATTCTTTTTTTCTTTTTCATCATATTAACTTCAGTAATTGATTGTCAATGATATGTTCACATAAAAGAAAAAAAAAAAAACATGAAAAAGCTTCATATAATGTAAATTGATAATAAATTTTAAACAATAAGAATATTTAAATTTATTGTTTGACATCTTATGTAGATCTTCTTGCTTTCTAGGTTTCTTGCGAATTTTCAGAGAAAAGCACTAAATAGAAAATTTCGAGTTACGATTAAAAAAGTACACCGATGTTCATTTGTATCAATAAATCTTCTATTTCCAATGAAACAAGAAGATTCACTGCAAGTTTGTGTACAGTTGAGTTCGACGATTTCAAAAAACCTAGAACCGATTTTCTTAAATTTCTTCGAACTCTAGTCTACAATAATACATTCAGAAAGTACTTACAAACACTATAGAACAGAACATTTAATAATGAAACACGAAACGTTTTTGATGAAATTGATTAGTTTTATATAACAATGCATCACGTATCACATCTTCTGTTCTCATTGCTTTATCGCCATTCCAACAATGATAAAGTCAGCAACTGAGAAGAGCCCCAACTATAACAATCAGTATCCCATGTATGTTGTCTTATTCTCCTTTTTAACTCTGCTTATTTGAATACAATAGAATATTACATAAATGAAATGAAGTAAAGTCTAAAAAATACTAGTTAACGACGTTCTTTTATTTTGACAGTGAAAAACCAATACTGAGATTTTTTTCTATTTTATATACGATCTGAGAACTAAAATATAGAAGATTGCAAAATATGTAAATGAATGACATCTGTTTGTAGATTATTTTTTTATCAAGATAGCGACAGTAACCATATTTTAAGCGTTATAAAACTAGCAAATCAAATCTAAATAGATTCATAAGTAAATAAAATAAATTTTGGTAATCAACTCTCACAAGGAAATCTTTTTTTTTTAAAGGAGTACAGTTACAATTGAACATCCTTGGAACAGACACATAATTGAACATTGTCAAGTTTGACGATATTGTATATCATCAGAAATTATTAGTTTTTCTTTTGATACAAATTTATAATTTGATAGAATATGGCAAAATCATCTTCGTCTGGTTTGATAGGAGTTGCCTATCTTCCTCATGGTACAATGCTTTTAGATCCGAATCGAGAAGATCTTCCTGATGGTGTTAAAGCTCTTCATTTATGTTGTATGAATATAAGTGAAAAAATAGCTGAATTAAATCCTGATCTTATTATTCTTTTAACTCCTCATGGACTAAATCTTCATCAAGCTATTAATATTTATCAACCAGCTATAGCAAATAGTCGAGCAAGTGGAAATGCTGAATGGAATAATAATTGGAATGATTATAGTGTTGATGTTAGTTTAGATGGTGAAACATGTCAAGATTTATATTTATATCTAAAACAAAGTTTACCAAGAGTAGAAGGAATGTTAGCTTTTTCTGGTTTAAGTGTTCCATTGAGATGGGGTGAAGTTGTACCATTATATTTTGCTTTATATCAATTAGCATTAAAAACAAAAACAAATAATTCTACACTTAAACATATTTCAGTTGAATCTAAACCTAAAGTAATTATTATTGCACAACCAGTGAAAGGAACAACAAGTAGAAAAATATTATTTATTTTTACAATAAAAAAAAAAGAATTTCTTTTTTTGTTAGTTGAAGAACGAGAATCATTTATTGAAGAACAACGATCTTATCTTGTAAAATTTGGTCGATTAATTCGATCATGGTGTAATAAATCATCACAACGTATTCTTCTTGTTATAAGTGGTGATCAAGCTCATACACATGCATGGTCTTCACAATTGCCAATAATTTATCAACCTGATTCATCGTGTTTTTCAAGATTTCCACAATGTGGTACTGAATATTCAAAATTATTTGATGAAATTATTCATGATTGGATAAAAGGAAAACGTTCAAATTCTGAAAATGATTTATATTATTTAGATGAAAATTTATTAATTAATGAAGCTGGAAATATAGAAAAATTTGCTCTTAGTTGTGGTTATGTTGGATCATTGACAATGCAAGGTATAATGGAAAATGATTTGATTCAAAATCGAATAGATGATTCATCAAAATCAATTGATCCATCTTCTCATTGGTTATTAACAAATTTCATTTCTTCTTCTCCAACATATTATGGAATGATGGCTGCTTTGTATATTCGAAATTTTAAATAATAAAATATTGTTTCTTTTCTTCGTGAGAAGTTCTAATGATGGATTTTTCATTGTTGCAATCAATATGTCAATGGGCAAATAAATGAATACTAATGAAAGAGAACGATCAATAGTAAGAATAATATAAATAATACAATCGTGTCAAACATACAAGTGCAATTCAATTATTGAACTATGGTTCAAGTACCTAATGTTGTTTTTCATGTATATAAAAATCTTGCAACATTCTCGACGAAGTAGCATACATATCAAATTTGAAAGTTTAATTCAATTGTTGAATACTTGAAACTTAAAAAGTTGCAATTCAAGTATTTGATAATTGAGTTCAATTATTCTAGTACTCAAGTATTTCACGAAAGCACACAGAGACATACATAGACACAGGTCATTTCTCTTATTATAAGTGTTACGAAATTGTAACATACATGAAAAGCAACATTGAATATATGAACCATCATTCAATAATTGAATTCAACTTTCAAATTGAGTACTTTTGAGAATTGTATACAACAAGAAGAACAATGCCATTACATCAGCTTTTAACATCCTTGAATCATACTATACTATTATGATATTTGCCCTTGTTTTGTCAGTACATTTTCTCTTATAAATAATAGTCAACAATCAATTTAAACAGGTTGAATATCATTTTGTTGATTATTAACTTCGCTTATTTTTTTTATCATCTGACACATTAGTTTATACTCAGGGTAACCAATTTGATATTTCATTTATCTTTGTATGTTTTTCATCGAAACTACAAAAATGAAATTACTTTATCAAGATTTAATTTTGCTAATATGTCTGATATTTATTCAATGTGAAAATCAAGCACAAAATTTGAATATAAAGAGAAAAACAGTTCCCAAATTTGGCCATAATGTTATTCAAAAGGGTCGTATCATATCAAAACCTGTAAGTTATTTGTTTGATATTTTCTTTTTTCATGAATTGATTTTTATTTTATTTTATTTTTTAAAGATTATTCAACCAAAACCTGCTGATCAAGTTCAAATATCTGAATTACAATCAGATAAAAAAAACCAAAATAAGCCAAAATATATTATTTATGGTGATATTCTTTTTCCGATTGATGAATTCCAATTTACTCGTTCGAAACGGTAGATTTATTAAAGATCATTATGTTTATATTCGAATGAAATCTTTGTTTTTTTTTCATTCTCTTTAAACTTTATTTCAATAAATAGGTTCAAACGAAAAATACTTCCTGAAATAAATCAGTTTGGTCTTAGTAATCGATGGCCACACGGTATTGTACCTTATGAATTTATGTCAGGAATCGGTAAGTTGTTTGAAATAATAAAAAAAAAAGTTATTGATTCTTTTTTTTTTAAATAGATTATCGTGTGCAACAGAATGTATTAAATGCTATTCAACATTGGCATGAACATACATGTATTCGTTTTGAACCTTATAATCCATCACGTCATTGGAATATAGGTGCAAAAATTACCATTGAAGATACTGGATCTGGGTTTGTTGATTAATTATAATTTCAATTGCTTTTAATTATATTTCTTTATAGATGTGCAACATTTGTTGGTTATCAACCAGTTTCAAATGGTTATTTTTCATCTTATTCTCTTTATTTGCCTGTATATTGTCCAATTGGTTCAGCTATACATGAATTAGGACATGTTATAGGTTTTTATCATGAGATGGCTCGTGCAGATCGTGATCTAGAAATAAATATAGATTTTCATTTAATGTCAAAAAGTGAAGCATCACAATATGAAATAAAATTAAGTCCAATCTATGATTATTATGGTCAACCTTATGATCTTGGTTCTATAATGCATTATTATCCTACAGTAAATAATTTTATTTTATTTGAAAATTTATTTCGATAGTAATAAATTTAAGGATGGTATGGGAGCTCGTGATAGTCGACGTACTTTTCTCATGGGTCAACGTATAGCATTATCATATCTTGATATTAAACTAGCAAATTTAGGTTATCATTGTGGTGATAATTGTAAAACAAAGCCTATATGTGAAAATGAAGGTTATTTTAATCAATATTGTCAATGTATATGTCCAGATGGTTTTTATGGTGAACAATGTAATTTATTGCAGGGATATTTAAGTATAGTTAATGTTATTTATTTAAACTAACAAAAAAAAATAATTTAATAACATACGCCGTTTTGTTTTTTATTAAAGCAACACCTTGGCATCCTCAAGAGAATAATTTACATTTTAATTCAATAGAAAAAGAAAAATCTCAAGCAATGTCAATAACATTGTCAAAAACAACGACAAGTGAAACTTTAAGTAAATCTACATTTTTTTTTATTCGATTTTATTTACAATGTCTTTTTTTTTTTTCTTCTCAGCGAATAATGGTGTTCGATGGCTTGAATGGAGTGATTGGTCTAATTGCAGTGAATCTTGTGGTAGTGGTGTTCGTGTTCGTACACGTATATGTTCGAGTACAGTTATCGACGGTAGTACGGAGCCATGTTCATTTTTACGAGGTAAATCCTTCGAAATTGAATCATGTCGAAATCCTGGATGCAAACGTATGAATAAAAAAAAAGTATTTTTTTTTCGAAATATTTTTGAATCTTTTTTTGTTTTCATTAGAAGCTGATATTATTATGAGTTGTACATTTGATCTTGCTGATGAATTATGTCCAATAAGAATTAATAGTAATTGGCAAATACAAGAAGGAATACAAGCAGATCAAATTCGACCTATTAATGATCATACACTTGGAGGTAATATAGAAATTTTTTATCTTCAATTTTTTTGTTTTTTTTCTTTATTTCAATAGATGGAAAATATCTTGTTATTACTGGAACTACAAATCGATTGAATGATTCACAAAAACTGCAATTAGGTCCATTTACCCATTTGCAATCATCTGATGACAATAATCACTGTTTACAATTTTGGTATTTCATGTATGAAGAAGGTACTGGTAGAGTTACTATAGCTTATAACAAAACAGATAATTATCAAAACGAAGATTCATTTACATTTAATTGGAAAGATCAAGGTAAATATATACTATAGAATGTAAATCAGTAATCGAATCGAGTTTTTTTAAAAGTAATGCACTTGATTGATTGTTTCACCTGGCGTCGTTCAACGTCATCTTATGACTACGAGAAAGTCTTGGTGAGATTAAGACAAATCTAACTAGATATGGGCACATGACCTACTGACAAAGAATTATGGACGCTTTGATGAACTTTTCATGGAGTGAAAGGCCGTATCAGAAAACTCAAAACAAAAAATTTCGACTTGAACTTGATCTATAGACGTGTTTGATAGTCATTGATTGTCATGAAAATTTCAATGAAAACAAATATGTCTTTCTAGAGATACTCAATTTCTAAAAAAAAACAGCGATTTATTATATGAGGACACGATGATCGGATCTCCTTCAAAATCGAATATGTTGAGAAAGAAACTATACGATTTAGATTGTTCGGTAATGCCTTGTTCTCAGTAACAAATTCATTAGAACGTGCATAACTTTTTATCAATGAACCATGTGTCAGAATCTTGTTAAACTCATCTTAATCTCACCGAAGCCTACTCATAACCATCATATGAAATCGAACGGTGTCCAATATTTGGGTATATTTTCTGATAGAATATGCTGTAAGTTAGACGCAACTTGACCAGCTGTATCGAATGATATATATTGCATTCGAGTAAAAATAAGATTTCAGTGACCGAGATTTCTGGAAAATTTAATCAGAAATTCGTTGTTATCTTTCGTCATTGTTACGTGTAGGATGTAGGCGAAAAGTAGGCTCATACCTACATCTTTGAAATTTTCTCATAATTTGCAGTTTGAAGTTTAATAAGAATTACAAACATATATATGATTGCAACGTGTTTCTGAAAATTGTATAGCATCAGTTATGTTTTCTCAGCATGTAGGACGTCTTGATGCCAACTGACAAAGAAAAGATTGTATCACAAAATCTTTTGTTCTCAAAAAATTCTTATTAGTCTCGTATACAGCTACAAAGCTTTTATATATCGATAAATATATTATTCATATAAAATAGCAGTTAATAATACTTCAAAAAATCTGATCAATAAAATTTTCTTTTCACTCGAATGAAACATAAATCATTCTATAGGGCCCGCCAAGCTGCATCCGGCTCACTGCATGACTCAATCAATGAGATGAATCGTTTTTGAAAAAATTCGAATTGGCTACTAATTTCTTTTACATATTCATAACCATCAATTATTTTAATTTTACAGACAAAAACTGGAAACAAATCCAACGAACAATTTCAAATATTTATGAATATAAACTTATTTTCACATATGAATCAGTAACGTCTGAAAATAATTATATTGCAATTGACGATATAAGTATTATCAATGGAGGATGTGGTATGTATTTCAAAAGAAACTTTAAAATGATTTTACTTTTTATTCATAGTATCAAAGAAAATGAATAATCAACGTCGTCGAAAACGACGACAAATTAACCCAGGTGTGTGTGTGAGCAATTTCGTATTTATTTTCGATAAAAAAAAAATATTGTTTTTCTTTGAAAATCATAGGTTGTAGTCGTGTTATTGATTTGACAACAACGAATACAATTGCATCAATAACATCACCAAATTATCCAAATTTATATCCAACAAATGCTCAATGTTATTATTACATTCGAGCACCACAAACTTATCGAGTTATACTTCAATTTACAGATTTCAATATACCGACATATAACAGAAATAGTTGTGCTGATTCTGTTGAAATACGTTATTATCATCTTGGTATATTTATTTATCTATTTATTATGTTTCTTTTTTTATTAATTTTTGTTGTTTTTTTTTTTTAAACTTTTTATTAAAGGACAACCAGGTCCAACTTATTGTGGAACAGGTGCTAATTCTAATAATTTACAATTTGTTAGTTCAAAAAATTATATAATGATTGTTTTTCGATCAGATCAAAATACTGCTGGACGTGGTTTTCGTGCACAAGCGATACTTGCTCAGTAAATTTTGATTTGTTTTTTTTGTTGTTATGATTGTTAATTTATTATGAATAAAAAAAGAAATCAAGTGTCAATCAAAATTCTATTTCTTTTTTTTATTAAAAGAAAAAAAAGGTGATGAAAAGAAACTTATGCGTTATTATGATGATTGATTATTGCCTTCATGAAACATGGTTCGCAACTTGAATATCCATAAACCATCAAGTAGCTGGAAGCATTATTTGTGCTTTAATGCTAATTAGAAAAGAAAAAAAAAAGAAGAAAAGAAAAATAGGAAGAAAGTGTCGCTCATATTTTAATTTATTCAATACAAATCAATAACCATCACATCATTCGAAAAAAGTCATTTTTACTAGTGTAAAAAATCATTCAATTCGAATAACAATAGGCGCACGACAGGTATTTATTTTAGATATTTAAATTTCAACAATGAACCTTATGAATCGCTTATTTTTACTAAATTCTATTCTATTTTCATTTTGCATTGAAGAAAGTTTTATTTTATTAGTTTATTCTTTTTTGATTTTGATCACAAACTTATCGTTAAGAATTTTATTGTCATATAAGAGACTCTTAGTAAAATGTTCAAGAAATTAACCTTCACATTCAAAATCGAAGGCCATAACCTTGTTTTATAAAAATTATTCATCACCGATTCAGAAGTGGTCTTCCATTGACAATGAATGCTATACTTACATACTCAAACAAAGAGCCCTTTATTACATCAGTTTTATTATTAAATGAAAATGTTTGATTGAATTTCTTTTAAAACTAAATACAATGTTTTATTTCAAAAGAGAAATTATGTCAAAATGTTTTCTTTTTGAAGATAAAGTCCAAATATTCGAATAAAGAAAAGCATAAATCTTTCAAGTTACGTCAACTAGTGTGACTAAAATAGAAATTGACTTCTTTAAATAGCAAAAAGAAAGAAGATTAAAACATATTGTTGTACGACACATTGACTTTCTAAGTGGACTCTCATGAATCATTTAAGAAAGATAAACACACCATTTGTCATTTTAGTCGAAATCATCAACCAAAAAAAAAACCTATCGGTTATTGTATTCTTGATTTCTAATTAAAACTTAAAACAATAAAATATTCTTATTTTCTTATTCAATATTGCCCATAGAAAAGTAAAATCAAAGTTTTATCTGAACATATCAAAAAAATATTTGTTTTTTCTAGACTAAAATTAAGAAAAACAAGAAAAATATCCGACGTAGTACTTGTTTTTATTTATTGCTCTTTTTATTTTTAAAAAAATAATAAGCATTAATAATAGAATATACATTGAAAATAGATGAAATTTGTACAGGTATGTGCACGATAATTCGATAATCAACAATGTTGTTCTTTTTCTTTTCTTTGAGTTTTTTTTCTATTTTCTTTTTTTTTTCAAGTGCCGGCAGCAGTAGTAGCAACACTACTGTCTAAACAATGACACTCGATTTAGATTGACGACTGCAGTAAGAATCACAAACAGCAACAAAAATTATTGTCACAATGCTTGTTCAACATTTTTTTCCTTCATCTTCTACTGCGACAAATTCAAATTCTTCTTTTTCTCCTTCTTCTCCTCCTTGTATTTCTTCATCATTGGTGAAAAATAAAAAACCATCCATTCTTTCACCATTCTTTAATTCCGAATCAACAGGATTTCAACCAACAATAGAACAAAATAGTCGTATTCGTTGTAGTGAAAAAATTAAAACACACTTATCGGCTTGGCCAAGTAAATTAACATCAGTAATGGAAATTCATCGACAACGTTTTTCACAACTTAATCCAAGATTCAAACAACAACAACAACAACAACAACAACAGCATATAACAGCAACACTTCTTCAACCTATTCAACAATCTGTTATATGTCCAGTTATTCTTCCAACAGCAACACGTCCCCAACCACGTCAACAAGCACGTTCAAAACAACATGAACCAACACATTTACCACCAACACAAACAATTCGACGATCAAATACAGCTAATGCTAAACAACAACAACAACAACAACAACCATCACTATCAGATCCTAACCATCAATATATAACATTGACTAATTTAACAAAAATTTTACATGTTCTTCAAACACAAGTGAAAATAAGTGATAATGAAACATCAACAGATATGAGTTCATCAACGACAAATAGTGCTAAACAACGTGTTCAACAACATTTACAAGATACAGCAACACGATGGTGGAAACCAACTCGATCATCGGATTGTCAAACACAAATAATGCCACCTTCTTCAATATATGCATATGGAACATCTGCTACATCACAATTAACATCATCAGATACTGTTCAACAACATCGACAAGAACCAGAAAATTTTCCATTAATTGTATAAATATTTAATTCTTATTCTTTTATTTTTAAATTAATTTATCATTTTATAATTATAGACAATTGTTTCAAATTCGAGTCGACAATTGAATGCACCTTCAGTTAGTGGTAATGGAACTTCTAAATATGATGAATCAGAATCATCAACAGAAATACAAACAACAACAGTTATAACATCAATGGTTCAACCACCTAAAACAACAGCTAATACAAAACGTACACGACAAGAACCATTAATAATGCAACCACGTGGTATGCGTCTTCATTCATATGATCATAATTATTATTATCAAAAACAGAATAATATGAATTTTCTACAACAAAATCGTTTAATTCGTCAAACATAATCATTAACTTAAAAAAAAACTAGTTTTTATTACATTTTCTTTTGTCTTTTTTATTAACCTTTGTTTTTCTTTTTTTATTTCGTTTGTGAGTTTTGGCAACAATCAACATGAATGAACATTTTATTTTTCTGTTCTTTTTTCAATGCATAATATTTCCATTTTCTTTTTTTCGTATTGTGAAGTTCTTTTTATCTTTCAGAAGAAAAGAAATCAAAAAATAAATTTCAATTGATTTTATCTGATGAAAACTGAGTTTTTTTTTAGTTGTGAATTTTTTTCAATTATTGAAAATAAACAAGTAATTTATAGCTCTATGTCAATTTCTTTTTAAAGTAATATTACTTACAGAAACTTAATTTAAATACATTCCAGGCATTTACAAATAGTTTTTTACTGACTTTATATGACATGTGAAAGTCAACTTAAATATGAGAGGTCAAACAAGAATACGAAGACATAATTATTTGAATCAACATGAGATTATTTTTAATGTCTACCCGTTTTAAATAGCAAACAACATTCTTTTAATCAAATAATAACAAAGTGGAAAATACTTTTATGGATGTATTGTAATAAATACAAGTTGAAAAGTTTTTTTTTTTTCATCATGTACCGAAAGTTTCAGCCTTTATCTTAGAAGAACAACGATAGCAATAAATGCTTTGTCATAGTCACTATCACTCGAGTAATAAGATGAGATTTTTATGTCAGTTATCAGCTGTTTTACCTTGACTTGTATTTGAGCAAGAGATTTTATATAGATTCAATTTTATTTTTACAAGATGATTAATCACATTTTTTTTTCAAGGATTGTTGATAATGCGAGCAAAAATTAACATACTTCGAAAATAATCAATAATGATAAGATTTGACATGCTTTTTAAAAATTTTGATTTTATAAAAAATTATGCATAAAAATCTTCAATGACTAATAAATAATTAAAGATCAACCACATATCCTCAACTTTTTCGTTCGTTGTAATTATTGATGCTTATTAATTCGAAAAAGTCAACAAAAGTTTTATTTATTTTTTTATCAAGAATCACATCCAAATCTTTTCTCAGTGCATCAAATCCAGTAATTTCGTCAGAATCAAGACCAAGGGGTAAACGGCAGACTTTGTACTTAAAGGTAATTTACACTACTTAAACGCACTTCGAGCTACTTTAAAGTACTTTTCTGTAATTTTAAAGTTCTCTTTTGTAATTTCAGTTTTTCAAAGTACTCTCATATAATTTTAAAGTTCTTTAATGTACTTCAAGTCTGCCGTTTCTCCTTGATCAAGACAGTCCTTCATAAATGAATTCTCTGCTAATTAGTAGTCGTCAAAAAGACTGGTTCCATGTTCTTCTACAACACACATAGGCAAACAATGAAAACTCATCGAAATAATCTTGTCCATATAAATATAATGAGGACCTATAGGTAGAGGTGCTAACCGCCGATTTTTCGCCGCCGCCGTCGATCAAGTACAAGGTCACAGTTCATGCTTCCTCTTTTTTTAAACTATCACTTGCTGATAATAATCAGTAACATCTCAAGTTTGATCTATGTGACAATTAGAGATTGCTGAAACCAAGAGAACTTTTAAAAAATATAAATTGGTGTATTTTTCCTTGGATGATATATGATCTGGAAACCGAGCTGATAAGCAAATACCGGGTGTCCCAAAAGTCCTTTCCTGATAAGTTTTTTGAATATCTCCGCCAGATGTCGACCAAACGATCTGAAATTTTTACCAGTGATAGAGGCATATTCAAAGTTTATATCCATAAAGACATGCCTAGAGAGACCCTTTGTTAAGTATCACTATTGACCTCAACAAGAAAAATTTACTTTTTCACAGTTAGAAGAAAATGTCACTTTACCGAAAACAATTGAATATCTCTGCTACGGCTAGAGCTAACGAGCTGATTTTTTTATCAATGATAGAGAGATAATCAAGCTTTATATTCATAAAGACATGCCTAGAGAGATTCTTTATTAAGTATACTAGAGTTTTTCCTATCTGTGAAAAAGTGAAATTTTTCTTGTTGAGGTCAGTAGTAATACTTAACAAAGCGTCTTCCTAGACATGTCTTTATGGATATAAAGCTTATACATGCCTCTATCACCAGTAAAAAAATCAGCTTCTTTGCTCGAGTCGTAAGGGAGATATTCAATTTTTTTTCGGATGGGTGACTTTTGAGCTATAAACAGGGTGGCCCAAAAGTCAATTTGCCAAAATAAAAATTGAATACCTCCATTACGGCTCAAGCAAACGAGCTGATTTTTTTATCAATGTTAGAGAGATGATCAAGCT